ATGCAGAGATTGTAATCAAATCAATAATGGGTTAGGAAATGTCGAAAATAAATCAACCAAACCAAGTGAAATCGAGTGTAAAATGTTTGATGTCTCTATCGAAAATCATCGATCGGCAGTATCAAATATCTTTAGAACAAAAATGCCGCGATTGGTCATTCTAGTCGAAGGTCCTAACAACATTGTATAAGACTAAGTCTGTTGCGGCATTTGTGTTTAATCAAATACCTAATATTAAGTAACGTGAAATGGTTCGGGCGTTTAAATATTTTAAACGGTTCTGTAACATTTTTTGCAATTTTAACTAGTTAGAACACGTATTATTCATTCAGAAACCTAAAAAAACAGTTAACATGGCTTGTTTCTTAGATTCAGTATAAAAGCTTCACTGTGGGACTATGTGCCTCTAAAGAAAATGATACAATAAGATTCTATTATCGCTTATTTCAACAAACAAGTATAAGCATTACGTTAAGAAGAAGACAAAACTGTATGTTGTCCACCTATTATTATATAGATATTCTTAACTTCACAGAAGTTATACCGATTAGAAAAGTATGTAAAATTCTGGGTTCGGTGGAAGTTGAACCCGAGACCCGTTGCTTTTTAGCACAGGACCAACACGTCCGTCAAAATATTAGTATAGTTATAAATATTACTAACATAATTCCACTCTAAAAACATACGTTATAATAACAGCCCATTATTATGTTCTTACTGTTGGTATTTGCTATGCAAAAACAATATTATCGTGTCTAGTTCGTGAGACTATTAAGTTTTTCATAACCTAAATGTCAGTCAAGAAATTGGAATAGGAAATTAGCCTATCCGTTAATTATAGGTTAGATAACGAGGTTGAACTAATGATAGGGTTTAGACAACACGTCTGTTCTACAATATCGAGAAAACACGAGTTCAAGGTTGTGTTTTATTATCTATCCCATAATAATTATTGTTTTCAAACACGGTCTCGAGGGACTAATGGTAGTACTGATCAGCCGGTTGTGAATTCGATCTCCACTGAGTCCGACATGTTTCAAATTTTTCTGGAACATCCTGGACTTCGCCCTGAAACCTGAATATTAAATGGGTGGTAGGAACATAGAAATTCCGTTCAGGTCACGAACCACCGTCCACAGATGAAAAGGCCATGAAGCTTAATGGCGTTTCGATTTCAGTCTGTGGATTTCCGAATATCCAAAACCAAAATAGGTCGAGAGCGCATCTTCTTTTGATGCTATAGGCAAGGGCTTCTTTTGATGCCATGTCCTTCCTCCTCTATCAGTAAAGAAAACTAGGCAAATAATTAGTTGTAATTTTACAATCGTTTTTTTTTTTTTTTAGTTTTATTCTTCTTTAAGGCAGGTTTTAGAGGTAATCTGAAATCATTTTATATTTATCTGCATAAACACGTGAAAATTACTGTTAAATTTTATCAATTAAACTGAATGTGAAGAATTTTTTGTTTGAAAGTTCAGTGAAGTTACAGTTCTGTCTCTCTTCGTGTTCACTATTTGAAACAAATGTTGGTGAAAAAAATAAATTAAAGGTGTTTATTTTTCTATAACCTACAATATTAATTTTCAACTACCTTTTGAATTAATAATAAATTAAACTTCAACGTTGCCAGAGCGATAACTAACCGCAATGCGCTACTGTCTTATTGCTTGTACTCTTATAGCTATTTGAGGGAACAACTCGGTATAAGACCATTAATGACTGCATCGCTACCGACAACGCTTACAACATATAAAACTTTTATTTCCTTTTTACTGCGCCATCTTAGCTTTAATTACAGTGGGGCAAATTGATATTATATTACTGTTACGAAAAAAACCTATTCATAAGACTCCCCTTCTATACAGAGTATAATCATTTGTTCTGGTTTATTTATGCTTAGTATATTTGATGTTTCCGGCGTGCAATACTTTGAGGATCAGGTATCTCAACTTAGTTATTTAAATTTAAATACATTCTGTAGTTTAAGTGAGTAGTACACATTTAAATAAAATAAGTAAAGTTATTTGAAAATTATTTTTAATCGGCCCGACTTCGATCTTGCAACACCGAACGCAAATTTAACTTTCATTTATTTGAATCATTAAATTTTTGGATGAATATATAATACAGATTAACTTAATAAATTGCCCAAACAAAAAACCGTCAACGTGCCTGTGCGGGTTCGCAAAGAATGAGAAATGACAAGTCGTGTACCGACGTAAATAAATTAGTAAAAATATCTATCGTTTTAAGCAGTTAAAAGTATTTTATTCTAAATATGTTGTAGTGAATTTGTCTACAAGTATAGTGAACTGTATCAAATATTAATAAAGACGTGTCTATCTTCAGTAAAAGGAGACTGTTTCAAATCTAATGTTAATCAGAATATGAGAGTAGTCCCAGCTGCGTTCGCTTCATGATACACGATTTTGACATCTGAAACTTTTCTTTATTTGCACATGGGGATTAAAATGTATTGTTTGTGTTATTTAAGTATTTAGAGCGTTTAATAATTAATTTCTTTCTTTGATAAAAATGGGAAATGCAAATCCTGGTTTCTATAAGTATTCCATATATCGCTTAAGGCAGACATAAATACTGAAAGATGAACAGTTGTGATTTGATCTTTCAGTTAAACATATGTACAGTGTACATACAACAATATCAACTTCAAAAACTTTTTTTTAAAAATTTTTTTTTTTTTTCCCCAAAACTATTTTTTTTTTAATTTTTGACATAATCATCGTGCTTTACTTGTGTAGCCCTTTCATTTGATACCCATATTGAAAAGGTTAAGGAAAAATATGTAATCCGCCATTTTGTATCGGCGGCCATCTTAGATTTATATAATGTTATTGATTTTACTACATTGTATTGTCATCTTAATTAAATGTGTGTGCTATATTTCAGATCAGTCTGACAACAGGAAGATCCTTAAATTTCTTTTTTATATTTTTAACCCAAAAAAATAAATTCCGTACGGGTCGAGCTAATTAAGACTGTTTAAAAATTAAACTACACTCGCCAAAAAGACTGATTTTTTTTCCAAACCCGTCAGGGTTCCATGACAAAAAATCAGTTCCATGACGTTTTTTACTAAATATTACCTGTCAGATAATACAAATGGATCGGAACAAAACGAAACGCTTAAGATTTGATCAGGTGATATAGAGATTCCGCGTCAAAACCCGCGTTCCCAACAGAAATCCACTCGCGCTAAAAACTCATAATTGACTAATAAACTTGATGGCGAAATGATCACATAATAAAGGGATTTATGCCCGCATGTGACGTTGTTTGCGAAGGTGTTTAAACTGCAGTCTAGACTAGACTTTACGGACGTTTTAATGTCGTAACTTGTGACGTAGACGCCCGGAGCGGGCGTGGCTATAGAAACACTATCGTTCATGTGATAAAGTTATGAACGGGGCTTTGAGAGGTTTATAAAAAGGACTACGCTAAGCTACGAGTAAACACAACTAAACAAGAAATATTTTCTTTGTTATAAAATTGTAAGCGCAGTTATATTGTATCTATAAAATAGACTCGACATATTAGCTAAAAGGAAACAATCCTATGAGGTAAAGAATTTAAATATTTCTTATCAAGACTATCCTTGGCTACGCGTTGCATTAGCGCTTAACTTTGCGTTCAGCGTGAGGCCCTAGATTCAATTCGGGTAAACATAATAGTTTACAACATACATACTTTTCAATTAGACTGTTATAACTGAGGTTATAAGCTTTTTATGATAAAGGAGGACAGACATGCAACCGAAACGCGATTAAACTTCATGGCTTTTTCATCTATGGACGGTAGTTCCGACATGTTTCAGAAAAATTATAAATTGATTAGAAACCTTATGGCGGAGATCGAACCCAAAACCCGTTGATTATTAGCCATACAATTCTACCATTTGACCGAAGCGCCCTTCAAATCCGAAAGTAGAAGCTTAAAAATAATTTTGTTAAAATATTATTTAATTAACATTAAATTTCACATTTCTATTTCATTTATTTATAGCTTGAAAACGTAGCTCCAATTTTTACCTTTAAAAAACTATTGAAACATAATTTTCAAAAGTTCAAATGAGCTTAGGATATTATGTCGCAATATTGCACAAATGAAGTCGGTAAATAATATTACCCATAACACAAACTATCTTGAAAGGTTGCGGCGGTTCACGTCAGGAGGGTAGGTCGTAAAAATAATTTAATGCAATGCGGCGGCGTCATTAGCGACTTGTACCGCCATCTGCCGGCGTCAGACGTAATGAACTTATAGGAAACATTGTATCTTTTTTATTTTTAACGATATTGATGCATCATTGTGGGAACTCATGACCTTGTTGGTACATACATTAAAATATAAAATATTTAAATTTTTTATATTGGAAAGGAAATTATTTTGTATTAACAAAGTAAATACTTATTCATTAAAAACTGTTTAAAACATGCTCTAAGATAAAACTAAGCAAATATTTATATAGAGAGGTATGTTATATGGACGCACCCTTAGCAAATCGCGAGTAAGCAGCTGCCCCGTGTACTATTGCAACATCGTTCACACGAGGCAAGAATGCAACGTTGACGGAAAGAGGTAGCGACGAACTCAAAGGAGGCCGGCGCCATCCGACACTGCGTTTTAATGGGAATCTTCCACATTTCACAATTACTTCTTTTAAACATTATTACTGTGTCTCGGGCATTCCATATCTAGCATCGATAGGAACTAGACTAGTTTCTTTAGTAGTAAATTTAAATTGTAATTACATAAGTTTTATTTTAATTAAATTACTTTGAATTAATTTTGGTTTTTTTTGGGTCCTCCGGCGGCGACATCCATAATTGGCGCAGTCGGTAGGATACTCAAAAAAGCTTCGGTGGTTAGATTTTCTAATATCGATAGTCACTTTCACCACCGTAAGCGTAGGGTATCTAAAAGAACCGGGTGTCCCGGATCGGAGGATAAATCCGAACATTGATCCCAGAGGAACCAGAATGCAGTTCATGTAAGTACACTCAAATTTTTCTTGTGTGTTGCTTTCCTTTCCCTTTAAGTGTAATTTTTACTTTGCAAAATTTTTTTATCCTAGGCAACCTACCCCTAGAGGGCCTGCGCGTGCAAAATTAGCTCGTAGGCTCGAATTGGATAGTCATAGAAATATTAGTGTAGAGTTAAATAGTACTTTAGATTCCTCGGTAGATTCGGTAGCTTACCAATCAATCGAGATGACTGACGTAGACACAATTTTTAAGGCCTTACGCCTGGTGCCAGATTTTGATGGTAACCCGCACGTATTACCAAGATTCATTCATTTGTGCGACCAAATTGTTGCGGAATATATTACCGCTAATCCTGGCAACGAACTAGCAAAGCTCTGTCTTATTAATGGCATATTAAATAAAATTACTGGGCCAGCCGCGCGTATTATTAATTCGAACGGCATATCCGAAAATTGGGATTGCATTAAAAACGCACTGATTAATAATTTCTCAGATCAAAGGGATGAGACGGCTTTGTATAACGATCTTATGTTAGCCACGCAAGGGAATAGTTCGCCTCAGGAGTTCTATGATAAATGTGTTAACTTATTCAGCACCATCATGACTTATGTCACCTTACACGAGTCAGTCGATACGACTGTAGAAGCTAAACGTGTTTTATATAAAAAATTAACGATGCAGGCATTTGTGCGCGGTTTGAAAGAGCCTCTAGGCTCTCGCATTAGATGCATGCGTCCTGATAGTGCTGAAAAAGCTTTGGAGTTTGTGCAAGAGGAATTGAACGTAATGTACCTTCAAAATCGTAACGATTCAGTATCAGAAAAGAAAATTCAAAGTGTTCAATTGCCAAAGCCAATTCAATTGGCTCCTAATAATTTCCCCGCGTTCAAACCATTCAATCCTGTTGCACGACCCCCTTCAATGCCAATATGGCAGCCGCCCCAACAGCAGTGGAAGCCGAATTTCCAGCAGCCAGCCCCATTTAGATCGATGAACATGCCATCACGCACGCAGCAAATGTTCCGTGCCCCACCACCTAACTATAACCCTCATCAAAATAATTTCTTTAGTGTGCCTAGAAATGTTCCTCAAAATCAAGGCCCTAAGCCTATGAGTGGCGTTAGTCACTACGTCACTAGAGAGAGGCCTCTGACCACGCAGTTGACGGGTCATGATTGGCGTAAGCATGGAAATATTCCAGCCTCAAATTATTTTAAAACTAAAGAAATGAATATGAATGAGTGTGATAGTTATGAAAATTATTATTATCCTGAATATTATAATTGTGATGCATATGATTACTATTACGCAGGAAATGATTTTTACTATCCGGAATCTTATTGTGTAGAACAGAGTTGCGAACCATTAAATGAGTGCCCTTCAGGCTACTCTGATGAACCTCAGCCATCTACTAGTTCCGTAGAAGAGCAGGATTTTCAGAAGCGCATGAAATCAGACAAGTCAAAATAGAATTAAATTTACAGTCACAAAGGCAACTCCCATATATTCAAATTTTGGATCCGCCTTTGAAATTATTAATTGACACAGGCGCTAATCAATCTTTTATTTGTCCAGACGCTATTGAACATTTTTATTCTAATTTTCCATTAAATTTTGATCCATTTGAAGTTACCAATGTGCACGCTACATCCAGAAATAATTATTCTATTAATATTCCTTGCTTTTCAGAATTTAATGAACCTGAAAATATTAAATTGTACATCTATAAATTTCATGAATATTTCGATGGGCTTATTGGACTTGACTTATTAGAAAATTGGGAGGCAAAAATAGATTAAAAAAAATAAAGTACTTATAACACGTAATTCAAATAACCCTATTAACATGTATAACTCGCGAAACGTTAATTGGTACGAAGATATAATACCGGCTAATTCTTCAAAAATTATTAAAATTCCTATTAATTTGCAGGACGGTGATGCTTTTATAAATGAGCAAAGTATTTCTAATTGTGTCATTAATCAATGCTTAACTACTGTTTGTAATAACCGCGGATTTTTAGAAGTTTTTAATCCATCACAGCATGATTTAATATTTTCGTTAGATCGACCCGTTCAAGCAGAATCTTATAACGTAGAGTGTTCACGTTCTGTCCAGCATACTCCGCGAGCGACCGAAGTTCTATCACGACTTCGAACCGATCATTTAAACGCCGAAGAACGCGCGAATCTAGAATTGTTATGTAGTAAATATGCGGACGTATTCTACATAGATGGAGAAAAATTAACATTCACGAATAAAATTAAACATCGTATTCGAACCCAAGACGAAATTCCCGTATATACGAAAAGTTATCGATATCCGTATGTACATAGAGATGAAGTTAGGGACCAGATAGGCAAAATGCTAGATCAGGGTATAATCCGTCCCTCAGAATCCGCTTGGAGCTCGCCTATTTGGGTAGTTCCGAAGAAGGCTGACGCGTCCGGTAAAACTAAATGGCGTCTCGTGATAGATTTTCGTAAGTTAAACGAAAAGACGCACGATGACAAATATCCGATCCCCAACATCAGTGACGTGTTAGATAAACTTGGTAACTGTCAGTATTTTACCACTTTAGACTTAGCTAGCGGATTTTACCAAGTAGAAATGGACCCTGACGACATTCCGAAGACCGCGTTTAATGTCGAAAACGGACATTATGAATTTCTTCGCATGCCAATGGGACTAAAGAACTCTCCGTCCACTTTCCAGCGCGTAATGGACAATGTGCTAAAAGACCTTCAGAACACCGTCTGCCTGGTCTATTTGGATGACATAATCGTTTTTAGTACCAGTCTCCAAGAGCACATGACCAATTTAGAAAAGGTTTTTCAAAAACTTCGCGATTCCAATTTTAAAATCCAGATGGATAAATCTGAATTTCTTAAATTAGAGACAGCATATTTAGGTCACGTAATAAGTAAGGATGGTATTAAACCAAACCCTGATAAAATTTCCGCAATTCAGAAATATCCACTTCCAAAAACACCAAAGGAAATCAAACAGTTCCTTGGTTTAGTCGGTTACTACCGAAAATTTATACCCGATTTTGCGCGAGTCACTAAACCCCTTACTCAGTGTCTTAAAAAAGGTAGGAAAATTGTCGCAGACACAGAGTACATAAATTGCTTTGAGAAGTGCAAATTACTATTAACTAATGATCCGATTCTCCAATATCCCGATTTTTCTAAGGATTTTGTTCTCACAACTGACGCGTCTAACGTAGCTATTGGTGCCGTACTATCTCAGGGCACAATTGGTATAGATAAACCAGTTTGTTTCGCGTCTAGAACTTTAAATGAGAGCGAAATAAATTATAGCACTATCGAGAAAGAGCTCCTCGCTATTGTATGGGCAACTAAATATTTTAGGCCTTATTTATTCGGAAGGAAATTCAAAATTGTAACCGATCATAAACCACTCCAGTGGGTTATGAATTTAAAAGAGCCCAACTCCCGCCTAACTCGTTGGAGGCTCAAACTTTCAGAATATGATTTTACAGTTATTTATAAAAAAGGCACAAGTAATTGCAATGCCGACGCTCTGTCCCGCATTGAGATCCATAACGAGGAGATCAGTTCAGTAGTTGCTAATGCTTCAGAACGCCCACCATCAGTTGATAATTCGTCTACAGCATCCGCTCACACTAGTTTAGAGAACCCAATTTTAGAGATTCCAATCGTTGCGGAACCTCTAAATAAATATCATAGGCAGTTATGCATTAGAGTAGTAGGTGATATTAAAAAACGGCCAACGGGTTCGAAACCGTTTGATACGCATACTAGAACATCAGTACAAGTTTCTAGCTCTAATTTAGAATCAGACGTAGTAGATATAATTAAAGAATTTGTTAATCCTAAGGTAAAAACCGCGTTGCTTATAAATCCTCCCTTAGCTTTTTATGACATTATACCGATCATTCAAGATAAATTCAAAAGTTCCGCAATGAATTTAGTGCTGTGCAAATACGAAGTAGAGAACGTTAAAGAGTACTTAAGACAGCAAGAGATACTCAAACATTACCACGATGGTAAAACTAACCACCGCGGAATAAACGAGTGCCATCTAGCTTTATCCCGTCGTTACTATTGGCCAAAGATGAAGGACGATATAACTAAATTTATTAATAGTTGCACTATTTGTGGTCAAGCGAAATATGACCGTAATCCTATTAAGCAACAGTTTAATATAGTTCCCCCGGCAACAAAACCCTTCGAAATAGTCCATATCGATCTATTATCCATTCAAAATGAAAAATATTTGACCATAGTAGACGTATTCTCTAAATACGCGCAGGCATATCATATTCGCGACGGTACTGCTATTAGCACGTTACAAGCTTTACTTAAATTCTGCACTCACCATGGTCTCCCATTAACTATTGTTTCTGATAACGGTACAGAATTTACCAATCAGTTATTTAGTGAATTTGTTGCCTTACACAAAATTAATCATCATAGAACTTTGCCGCATAGTCCTAACGATAACGGTATAGTAGAAAGATTTCACTCTACTTTGCTTGAGCACCTTCGTATTTTAAAACTTAGTCATAAAAATCAGGACGTAATTAACCTTATCCCGTACGGTATTTTAGCATACAATAGTTCTATTCATTCATTCACTAAGTGCCGACCTTTTGATATTATAACTGGCCACTTTGACCCGCGAGATCCTCTCGATATAGATATATCTAAGCACTTAATGCAGCAGTACATGCAAACCCATCGTGACAATATGAAACTTGTCTATGACGCAATAAATGAGTCATCGCTGAGTACTCGTACTCACATTATAGAAAATCTAAATAAAACCCGCGAACCGGAAATCGAGTACCAACCCCAACAACGCGTGTTCGTTAACAACCCTTTAGCAAGTCGTCAAAAGCTAGCCCCACGATATAGTCAGGATACTGTTCTTGCGGACTTACCTATACACATATATACCTCTAGAAAGCGCGGTCCCGTAGCTAAAAGTAGGTTAAAACGAGTCCCTAAAAGTGCCCAATTGTTGCAGGGTGCTACTGGTCCTGACTGCTCGTTTGATAACGGCTCAGGAACGCAATCAAGAGATAACACTTGAGAGCCTTGATGATGGTCCTGGATTACTCCCATTTAGGCTCGGAGAAACGAGGCTTATTTCCCATTTTCATACTTTCTTACAATATATACAACTCCAAGATATTAGCGATAAAATAGAATTATTACAAGTCCAATTAGCAGATTTTAAACTCCAATTGAAAAATGATACTTTCATGTTATATGAACTACAAATAGAATACTTATCCTCTAAACTATTAAATGTTCTTAGCCACTTAGAATCGTTAGAATCTACTAGAGTTAAAAGAGGTCTTATTGATGGCTTGGGTTCCGTAATTAAAACTATCACTGGTAATTTAGATCACTCTGATGCAATAAGGTACGATAAGGCTATTAAAATCTTACAGGATAATGATAATAAAATTATCAATCAGTTTAATTCCCACATTACTTTAAATAACGAGTGGATGGCCCAGCATTCTGATATCATGTCTAAACTTGTTGAAAATCAAATAAAAATTAATGAAACTTTAAAGATTATTTTAGATTCAGATGCATATAGAGACTCAAGTCTTATTAAATACATGAAATTTGCGCAACATTTAGCTATTATTACAGAGAACATAGATGACGTTATCAGTGAACTTATTAGAATAGAAAATAGTTTAGCTTTTATCCGTGCGTCAAGCGCGCACCACTCAATGATTAGTATTAAAGTTTTAGGTAAAATGATTAATAGGTTAATATCAATATACGGTAAGGAACATGTGTTAGAGTTAGAACTAAGGGAATATTATGAGCTAATAAAACCTGGTTATTATTTCTCAGGTACCAGAATAGTAGTTATATTTAAATTACCTCTTTTTATTAAAGATAGTTATGACTTGTATAGATTGTCCATTGCTCCTAATAAATACCAGCAGGCCCTCATCCCTCCTTATCCTCTAATAGCAACAAACAGGAAAGGTTACGTGTACATGGAGGCAGAATGCCCGAAGTACAATCACTGGTACCTCTGCGGTGAGAAGATGGACCACCAGATACGACAGCAGCCAGACTGCACTCAAGAGCTCATCATTAACCAAGCCTTGGACAAGACCTGCCAGATGACTACGATAACACTCTCAAGAATCTCCTTGGAAGAACTTGACGAGAAGCACTATATCATATCCTTCCCAAATGCTACGAAGATTCATCTGCGATGCGCACGAGATGACTACACCATCCTTAGTGGCACCTACTTAATCACAGTGCCTGTCAACTGTTTCCTGTTCACCTCAGAATTCACTATCACTAATACTAATGATCAAATTGAAGGACGCCCTTTGAAGATAATGAAACTACCATACGATAAGGAAGCTCACGCCAACTCTTCATCCCACGTTTATCTCAAATCAATTGACTTGACAAGATTACATGAAGCCCAGCATCACCTAGTGACGCAACCAACTCTACAAATTGAACAAGTACCAGCGAACTATCTTTATCATACAACTATACCACTGTACACTATCATACTAATAAGTGTACTTGTAGTCTCAGGTGTCCTGATACTAAGACACTTTGGGTTACTACAACGCCAGCCGAAGGTAAAGAACACCCCTACTCGAGATGACATCTACGCGAAGCCTGAAAATCCTGGATCGCAGAAGACAGCAATATTTCACCATCTCAAAATGCAGAAATAGTTGCTGTTCTCAGGGGGAAGGTGTTATATGGACGCACCCTTAGCAAATCGCGAGTAAGCAGCTGCCCCGTGTACTATTGCAACATCGTTCACACGAGGCAAGAATGCAACGTTGACGGAAAGAGGTAGCGACGAACTCAAAGGAGGCCGGCGCCATCCGACACTGCGTTTTAATGGGAATCTTCCACATTTCACAATTACTTCTTTTAAACATTATTACTGTGTCTCGGGCATTCCATATCTAGCATCGATAGGAACTAGACTAGTTTCTTTAGTAGTAAATTTAAATTGTAATTACATAAGTTTTATTTTAATTAAATTACTTTGAATTAATTTTGGTTTTTTTTGGGTCCTCCGGCGGCGACATCCATAATTGGTATAACAACTACCAAAAACACAATATTTCGTTTAAATAAAACACTTTAACGGTTTAAAACGCTATAGTTAAACTTATTTGAAAAATATTTTTACCACAGCCCGACGTTTAGAAAAAATAAAATAATTTTCAAATTGGTTTACCTAATATATTTCGCGTTTTAAACAGTTATTCTGTAATTTAAAAATCGAAAATACTATGAAATAATCTTCGACTCGGGCATCACTTGAATCGGCATCGTCAGCGTACCGTGATGTTGCTCTACCAATTGTTGCTACCGAGTCGTTAAAGTGTTTTTTTTAAATGTGTACTACTCGCGAAAACTACGGACAGGATATAACATTTAGATGTAGCATCGTATTTGGACAAGACAATATCAAAACTTTGAATTGTCGATGCAACATAACTAGTATTAAATATACTTATATTATAATATACTTTAGAGAAAGCTTCGTATTACATAAGTAAAGAAAATCGTCTCATTTAGAGCAAGAGCGGTCACGAAGGTATCATTAATATCAGCGTAGCCGTTTATACGGTGACCATTATGTAGCTCCTCGAAAGCCTTATTGCCCTGGTAAGACAGGATAAGGACAATCGCTTATCTCCCTTAACTGTTATATAAATGCTTTGTTTTAACACCAGGTGTTATTGACGTTTAGATAAGATAAAATAAGACGAATTGAGTTTTAATTAAAAAATATATATATACTTTGGAAAAAACAAAACAATTTATCTAAAACGAATGGTTTTTGAAGTTGTAAAAGTAAGTTAACATATACTTTTCGCCGCAGAGGGGTTTTTCAGTGTATCCCAAATAGACAATAATTCATGATTCAATCGAACTAGCTGTGTCAGCGGCTTCGTTTGCGTAGATTCGTAATTTTAGCATCAAAATTGTTTTTGCAAACCTCCTGCCCAACAAAAACAAATGTTCTATACATTTAAGCTGTTACCCAAGACGTGTTCCGCGTCTCGTCGTTCTTGCATGTTAATCTTAAAAAATAGACGTATCGCTGTGCTTTTTTGCAATCATTTAAAGAGGAATTATTATTTTCCGCTTTCGCCGTGTACGCATCGGAAACCCACAAAAATGTATAATTTTGCTGGTTTTATTTCACATATCCGAACCAGTAGTTCCTGAGATTATCGCGTTCATACAAACAAACTCTTCAGTTTTATATATTAGTATAGATGGTTAACTTGAAAATTTCATATAGTAGAGATAGATCTTCGTTATTAACGCAGTTTACGACAAAGCGACGTCCGCTATTAGTTTTATACCGTACGTTTAAGGTTTATTAGTGGTATACGACTCACAGGTTATTTCACACACGGCCAAGTCTAGACGCTCGAATATGTCTTTGCATTAAGAAAATTCGTTGCACGTTAATACCTCCCTTTATCACCGCGAAACAAAGCACCGCTCCAATAAGATAATTTTGACGAAACGATTTCGTAAAAAATGCGTAATAGCAGGTAAATACCGCTTTTACTGGAGTACCTATCTCAAATTACTAACAACTAGGTATGGGCCGATGCTTCACACATTCGGTTGATTCGAAATTCGGTTAATTTGATCCTAGAGATCTAAAATAAAATCGGATATATTTTTTTTTTATATTTTTAAATATGTGTCTATTGGGCTTAGGTCTTCTCTTGTATTAAGAGTTTGAAAAGATTTTGGCGGCCTTTATAATCAAGCTCCACTAAGTTAGTTGTGATATTTGGGTTCGACAACTTTAACTCCGAGCTGATACTAAAACTAAAATTCCAAGTGTCTAAGTAACATTTCGCCCTAAACAGGAATCGAACCGGCACGGCCCACGAACGTGGACCAACAACGCAGTTACACTTATTTGGAAACTTTAATGCAAAATTATTATAGAATCATAGCAATTTTTGTTCCAAGTGGCCGTGAAAAAGTTTCGGAGAGTCTACCACATACTACCAGCTAGCTTATGAGTTGGCTTCTTAATAAGTATAAACGTATCACATTATGTGTGAGGACAATATTATTGACTAGCTGTGCCAGCGACTTCGTCCGCATATAATAGTTATTTTAGGCGTCAAACAATTCCCGTTGTACCTTTGTTTCTATAAGTCACAGCGCGATGTTTTATCATATAGCCTTACTCGATAAATAATCTAACTAACACAAAAATAATTTTTCAATTTAAACCAGTCGTTCCTGAGATAAGTCGCGTTCAAACAAACAAACTCTTCAGGTTTATATATTAGTATAGATTAAATAAGAACCGAACCGATTGTTCGTAAACCGAAATTCGGTTTAACTACGCTCACCCCTTCACTATTTACAACGTTGTAATAAAAGAAGTTTATTCGAACAATAACCAATTTGCGAGGAAAAACACCGCCTCAAGATATACCCATTGACATAAATAAATCATTATTCGTCCTAAGGGAGGCTTAACGTTACGTCAATTTTCAAAACGAATTTTCATTGTAATGCGCCACAAAAGAAAAACGCGAGTGTATTTACGCTGCTTTGTTAAAAATTAATTCGATACTTTTTATCTCGAGTTTCTCGAAACATTCTTGTAATTTTTTCCGGCAAAATGGCCACTTGAGTATTCTCATTATGTATTGATAATTTACCTTCCCGGTCCATAAGAGATTAGGTGTCTCTATTATTACTTTTCGTTTATCTTAAGCCGGATTTTCGTATATAAAGTTTCTGAAAAAAAATAAAAGTGTTTATATCACTTTTCTTTGAAAATAATAATGTTGATGAGGTTGGCATTCTTTTATTTGCGAAATAAAAACATACACTAAAAATCTTTTTAAAACATTCATAATTATTTTTTTGTTTGTAAATTACCCTTTAGTATTAAACTATCTATATCCAACCCATGAATGTGTAAATCACTTATGGGGGCGAAAACAATTACGTGTCTACTAATCAATTTTATGTACAGTAGTTAACTTCTGTGCCCTGCCCAACGGATTTTTCCTAGAATTTGAACCCAAAACCTCTCCTGTTAAGAACAGTATAGCAAAACAGAGTTATCATAATCTATAATAATAGATACAGCTACCAACCAAAACAATATGTATGGAAGGATCATTCCTCTTTCTATGATAAGATTAATTTGCAAGAACGATCCGAGCGACGGGACTGTCGTTGGTAACAGTTATAATCTGTAAAGATGAGGAGGAAGTTCGCAAAAACAAATTTTGACGCCGAAAATAACTAGACTATGCGAACGAAGTCGCTGGCACAGCTAGTCTTACTATAACCGTCTTCAATTAAAGTTACGAAGTAATTACACAGTAATAGTAAGATACTCCGATAAGTAAATAAAACACGTTCATCGTATAATCGAGATTCATAAATTGTAACATCGATTATTCGATTTAGGATCAACTCGATAAGAAGATTAATTACCTTTGATATCGAGTTTTAATCGCGTAAATGGGCCCACGTGACTGTATCTCACGAGTCTTATATGATCACTAACTTCCGGCCCCCATTTTCACCTGACTTAAAGCAGAAATACGAAAATCCTTGTGTTATGCAACTGCCTTTGGCTTTTAAACTGTAAGAAAGGGATTAACTTTAGTTCTATTAAATAAATATCTAATAAATATTTATATGTATGTGAAAAACAATAGCTTTTTTCTATAATCTGTCATTGTAAATGAAAAACGTGAACTATAAATTATTTATTTACTACAATTTTTATAGCGATTATAATTATGCAACATAATGCAACAAAACTGAGAAAGTAATTAAAATTGTAGAAGGTGACACGGGATTCGAACCCAGGCCTTAAATTGATAGAGCAAGAGGCCACAGGAGCTATTACACACGGGTTCAGTACGAAATATTTACTATCTTAATCTACGTTACATAAGCAACAGTTCACTTTTAGTCTTAAAAATCTTATAACGTAAAACCAGCGCAACAACTATGACTTATATCCGCATAAGGAACATTATTCACGGAACCCTTGCAGCCTCAGGTGAATCTGGCAGCTGTCCGGAAACAGGATACCTTAACTAATTATTTTTTTCCATCCCCACCCACTAAACCTCTCCGAGCCAACTCTTGTTCCCCCCTCCCACCGTATTTATAAACTTAATTGCACATTTGCACAGCGAAAGTGTCGTTTCATTTCTGACAAATGTGTGCGTTTTTTTATTCCCTCACTTTCTCTGTGGTGACCATTGTTCGAGTACTAGAGTGATTAAATAATTAACGCCTGTATGCTTATTACGCCCTGGTCTTTTAATTATGAAATTAAAGGTATATGTAATTAAAATCACACAAGTCGAGTGCTAGTGCTTTCATTTTGTTTTCTCTTAACTAAAAAAGTTTTAGTATTAAAGAAATTGTTTTATTAGTAAAGGAATTTCTCTTCGCAGAGCATGGAGTGGACACAAATCTACGTCCGTTTCACTGATCGTTTTCTTTCAAATGCGAGTTACTGATCAGATATTGTCTAACAAAACTCTTATTTATTAAATATGTTTTGAAGTCAGGACCTTATCACATTGCTAATCCTATAGTTTGACCACCCGCTTTAATCGCCTTTCGGTTTCAGTCTGGATTTTCGGATATCTAAAGACAAAATAGGTCGGTCCACAGCATATCTTATTTA